AAGTTGGAATGCTTGCCGAGTGGGTTGTACATCACAACCATTCGCGGCATAAAAGCCCATAGTGTGGCCGGACCTATGCCTGAGTTCCCGGACACTTTGTTGTTTTGGCATGATCGTTTGGGACATCCTGGACTTGACATGACGCGCCGTATCCTCAAATCTTCACACGGGCACAAGTTACATCCCTATATTAGACTCCCACCATGCAAAGCATGTTTTTTAGGAAAGTTGAATACTCAACCCTCATATACAAAGATTATTCACGAGACCCCCTAAATTTCTTCAGAGGATTTAAGGGGACATTTGTGGACTTATCCAACCAACCTACGGACCATTTAGATACTTTATGGTGTTAGTTGATGCATCGACAAGATGGTCACATGTTTGCTTGTGGTCCACACGCAACACCGCGTTTGCTAAACTTTTAGCTCAAATCATTAAGCTAAGGGCTCACCACCCTGATTATCCGATCAATTCCATTTGACTAGATAACGTTGAAGAGTTTACGTCACTGACTTTTGACGATTATTGCATGTCAGTAGGGATAAATGTGGAACATTATGTACCCTATGTTCACACCCAAAACGGCCTGGCAGAATCTTTCATAAAGCGTCTTCAATTGATAGCTTGAACTTTGGTTATGAGAACCAAACTGCCAGTATCTGCCTAGGGCTATGCAATATTGCATGCAGCTATGTTGGTCCGCCTGAGGCCCACCTCTACCCAACCACATTCACCGTTATAGTTGGTCACTGGATACAAGCCTGACGTTTCGCATTTACGGGTGTTTGGGTGAGCCATTTATGTTCCAATAGCATCGCCGCTACGTACCAAAATGGGTCCTCAGAGAAAAATGAGAATCTATGTCGGTTATGATTCGCCATCAATTGTTCACTACATAAAACCTTTGACAAGAGATCTTTTTACCACATGTTTTGCAGATTTTCACTTTGATGAGACAGTCTTCCCATCGTTAGGGGGAGATAAGCATGCTAACGTTCCTGTAGAATGCCGCGAATTGTTGTGGTATGCTCCCCCTATGTCTCATTTAGATCCCCGCACTGCCCAGTCTGAAATTGAGGTGCGTCAAATTATAGATCTTTAGAGCATTGTTCAAAGCATGTCGGATGCTTTTAATGATCTAGCAAAGGTGACAAGATCACACATACCCGCTGCAAACACATTTGCAAGGATAAATGTACCCCGCGTATGTCAACAATCTACCTGGGAAGGCTAGACTGTCCCCGAAGATGAGGAGACCGCACCCTCCACGCGGCAAGGTACATTGGCAGCTAGCCAATCATCTGCTCCGACCCTGAAGATGGATTGCTTATTTCCAGTTTGACCATATTTCATCGATGAATGCCGACGTAGAACCGATTGGTCAAACTGGAAATAAGCAATCTAGGTCGAACTCGATTCGCTCGTGAAACGTAAGGTATTTGGACCTATCGTTCCTACACCACCATGCGTGAAGCCTGTTGGCTGCAAGTGGGTTTTCATGAGGAAGCGTAATGAGAAGAATGAAATAGTGCGATACAAAGCATGCCTCGTAGCGCAAGGTTTCTTTCAGCACCCAGGAATTGATTACGAGGAGACATATTCCCCCGTAATGGACGTTATAACGTTCCGCTACCTAATCAGTTTGGTAGTTTCCAAAAAACTGAATATGCAACTTATGGACGTGGTAACCGCGTATCTCTATGGGGATCTAGATACGGAAATTTATATGAAAAATCCAGAAAGACTTACATTGACTGGCTCAAATAGTTCTAGACCACGGAACACTCTCTCAATTAGGTTGAGAATGTCACTCTACGGATTAAAACAATCTCGGCGGATGTAGTATAACCGTCTGAGTGAATATTTGACAAGTCAGGGTTATCTGAACAATGAACTATGCCCATGCGTGTTCATAAAGAAGTCACATTCCGGATTTTTAATTGTTACAGTTTATGTCGACGACATGAACTTCATTAGGACTCCTATAGAGCTTGAGGAAATTGCTACACACTTGAAATCAAAATTTGAGATGAAGGATCTAGGGAAAACTTGATATTGTCTATGCCTAGAGATCGAGCATTGTTCGGATGGAATCCTAGTACATCAATCGAACTACACCCAAAAGGTGTTGCGACATTTTAATGAAGATAAAGCAAAGCCTTCGAGTACATCCATGGTCGTTCGAACTCTAAATGCTAAACGAGATCCCTTCCGTCCAAAGGAGGATGAGGAAGAAATTTTAGAACCCGAAGCTCCTTACCTAAGTGCAATTAGGGCTTTATTGTACTTGGCTCAGTGCACTAGACCCGACATCTCCTTTGCTGTGAATCTATTGGCTAGTTACAGCAATGCGCCCACACGCAGGCACTGGAATGGTGTTAAAGATATTTTCCGCTACCTCAAAGGTACTACGAATTTGGGTTTGCTCTATACCCGTAAATCTCCAAGTGTTGCCGCCCCCTATGGTCCTTGGATTGATTCTCTCCTTGTTGGTTATGCAGATGCTGGATATCTGTCTGACCCACGTAGAGCACGTTCTCAAACGAGTTATGTCTTTACCGTTGGAGACACGCTATATCTTGGAGGTCTACCAAGTAAACGCTAGTTGCGACTTCGTCTAACCATGCTGAGATTCTCGCCCTACATGAAGCATTGCATGAGTGCTTTTGGCTAAGAGAAGTTATGGAACATATTCGAAGCATTAGTGGTCTTACATCAGTCGTTGACCTTCTTATGACGATCTTTGAAGACAATGCAGCATGTATCGAGCAGTTGAAGAAAGGATACATCAAGGGAGACAACACCAAGCACATAGCGCCGAAGTTCTTTTACTCACACCAGCAGCAACAACATCAAAATATTGAAGTCAAGCAAATCTGTTCCTAGGACAACCTGGCCGATCTCTTTACCAAGTCATTGCCCAAGTCTACATTTCATAAGCTCGTCCAAGGAATCGACATGCGTAAATTATCTGAGTTGAATCACTTGTAGTTCTCTTATTTAGAAGTTATGTCTAACTCAGGGGGAGTATCTAGAAGCATACTCATATGATCTTAATGTACTCTTTTTCCTACGATTAGGAGCATTTTTCTGACTGGGTTTTTGCTACCTAACGAGGTTTTAATGAGGCACCCATCCTGGGATGATCATACAATGATGAGTTCACCACCTTCGTCCAGTTTGACGAGTGTTTTAGACATTATGCATATTTTCTTACTTTTCTCCTTAGTCTATGGGTTTTTGCCTATCTTGAGTTTTACCATAGCAAGGTTTTTGTGAGTTTTTGCAAATGCATACTTCAAAGTAAATTTGAGACTCGCGATCACCCGTTGTACCGATGACTTCATCAACTATTCTACCTTATCTGCTGAAGATATGATGCGATGGTTTGTTGAGTATATACACATTCAAGGGGGAGTGTTGCAGTCATATTTAGAATAAGAATGTGATTGTGTAAATCCTAGGGAATCTGGGAATGTATCTTATATTCCTATTAGGATTAGATTACCTATTAAATGTTGTAATCCTAAAGGGAAAGGTTTTACCCTTCCTACTACCATAAATAAAGACACAATGGGGTGAATCAAACACACCTTACAATTAAATCAATCTCTCTTCTCTCTAACAGTGGCCGGCCCCTTCTCTCTCTCTAAACCCTAAATCGTTCAATCAAATAGGCCTACAACAACACTTACATTATCGTTTAGATTTTTAAAATCCTCCAAACCCTCATAAATAATGTTTTTATTTGAGGGAAAAATTAATAAAATTAATAATAATTATTGTAGAAGTGTAAAAAATGTAAAAAAATTAATAAAATACAATCACTCATAGTGACAAGCTTTACAACTTTCATGAAGGGGTTAGCTTCGAAATCCAACACTATAATACATAAACCTTAAATTTATATTTAACCGTTGATTGTCATTTACGCTTTATTTTTCTTACTGAATTTTATTTTTTTAATTTTATTTTTTGAAAACATGATCATCTGGCAGATGTAAGAAGATGAACGGTTCAGATCTTTGATATCACGTTTCGATATTTACGGTTAACTGAAATGAGTCAATGTCATATAGTTTGTAGAAACTTTATACACATTAAGCAATATTTTCACTAACCGTAAAACTCTAAATATAATATCAACGATCCAAACCGTTCATCTTCTTGCATCCTCTAATAAATCATGTTTTCAAAAAAGAAAATTTGAAAAAACAAAATTTGATGAGAACAATGAAGCGTAAATGTAAAAAACAATCAACAGTTAAATTTTGATCTATGATTTATATGATTATAGTGGCGAATTTCGAAGTTAAGCTCTTCATGAAAGTTGTAAAGCTTGTCATTACGAGCGTTTATATTTTTTCTATATTTTTTACACTTCTACATTAATTAAAAAACTATTAAAGACTTTACTTAAATAACAGTCGTAAGATAAATGAGAGTAAATATGTACGGTTGGATTCTATTTCACTTATATTATTAGAACTTTTTTGGAAGAAAAAACCCCTTCTCTATTCCAATTTTACCATATGACCAATTTAGGTAAGCGAAAATATACTTCTAATAAAAACGCGTTTTTATGTTTTGGATGTGATAGAATGGTATGTATATATTTATTTAGTATTATGTTTTTCATTTGATTATTTATTAGTTTAAAATATATTTTCCTTAACGGGTAACGGATCGGATAATATTACCTGTTAATATTATTGGGTTGATTTCAAGTCGGATCATTTTACCCGTTTATTTTAACAGATGTTACCCGATACGACTCGTTAAGATATCGAGTATGACATGAAAACGACACAAATGCCAAGTCTAGCAAGAATCCAAATACGATCTTGTTTCAGTCCGACCCAAAATGAAGAGGAACTCGTTACAAGAAAAAACGAAGAAATCAAATTGGCTTTTCAAAATCCGCTAACTTAGTCGATCAACTGGGAAGACAAATATGCAAGAAAAAAGGACTACACGGACGAAAGTGAACACCCGAGTAAATTACAGCCAGCATTACTGAAATTTGACACTGAAAATATATGGTTGTTGACATTCATAATTTCGTTTGCAATCTTTGATGATGTTGGTAGAAATATCTCCTGCTACCAACAATTGATAATGCCAAAAGTAATTCGGCAAAAAGCACTTACGGAAACGCGCTTAGCCAGTGCCGATACATATTTGGCTGTGCTGAATTTCTTTGGCAATCCTTTACCTGTATAGTTTGGCCTTTTGAAGAATTCCTTACGAGTTGCCAAAGTCAAGGCTTTTACATGATTAAGAAGAGAAAAAAAAAATCTTCGGTTAAATCTCATAACATCACAAAGGCCGTGCATTTTTCTCTTCCAATATAACAAGCGCCATGCGTCACGAATGAATCAATTAAGCCAAGGCTTGAGCCATCAGAGAACGATGAGATAGCTGCTGCTCATAAAGCTCGCGAAAAATGCGGTACTTGGCATCATGGTACTTCTTCACCCTAGGATCTTTGGATGGATGGATGACCTGCCAAATGAGGAAGATGGTATCTGAAACTTGTAAACAAAATATGGGAAACCAGTCTGCGGGTAAAAGTATAATATAAAGTTCACCACAATTACACACTCGTAAACAAATTTCATTCACTTTTTTTGCGCCCTAAAAAAGATATATATAAATAAACCGTAATATGGCAAACACCAAGAGGTTGGAATTTCCAACAGCAGTCCACCTTGCATTGTAGAACCCTACCCGTGACTCAAAAGTCATACACATATACATCTTTGACCTCAAAATCATACTATTTTAGTTAATTATTTTGCAATATAAACCTGAAATGCTAAATCATGAAATGTCATTGTGGACGCAAGTACAGTATCGACACAAGAAGTATAACGAGGATACTTTTTGTGTTTACCCTCGTAAATATTCCTAATAATGCACTCATCTCGCGATTTTTTTACCTCTATTATAGGCTTGGAAATTTGAGGAGAAAGAAGAAAACATTCAAATACAACCCTATGTCCTACAGTAGGTTACAAAACAATTAAATGCCCGCTCTGCCTGAAAACTGCTGGGAGGTTTCACTTCAGACCTAAATATTCTCCCTCAGAAAGGTACAAAAAATTACTACCCTCCTAAACTGCTAAGAAAGAAAAGAAAACTGCTGGGACATTTCGCTTCAGAGTTCAGACCTAAATATTCTCCATCAGAAAGGAATAAAATATTTGTTTTGAAAAATGAAATCTAAAAAAATCCACCATTATTACCTGGCCCGCTGCATTCAGAGCCTTCATGGCCTCATGCAGACTAGAATATTTCCTTGCAGCAACAGCACCAAGAATGGCAGCACCCAAGAGCACAGGTTCACTTTCTCGTGGAAGAATTATAGGGCAACCTGAATAAATCACAGACAAGGGGTCCAAGGGGCAAGGGTTATGTAAATGCATAAACAAAAGACTTTGACTTGTGTACTCTAAAGCATCATTAATTATCCCAAAGTTTTCTTTCGCCAATCCAGTCCCACAGTAGATCCAACATTTTAGGAAGAATCTTCAGCATACAAAAACAGTTCAGTCATTGAACAATTACATTACTAATTTGAGAATCCAAACGACCAATGCAACAAAACAAACATAGGTTCTGCAATAAACTTCAATAACAGAGAAGAACGATCAGACAAATCTAAAATGACAATAATAGTTCATTTTGAAGGAGGACAGCAGAAGTCAGATAACTGAACATTAGACGGATGAAAACACAAAGGAGATGGGGGCATTTAATGTTTATGAGAGAGAGAGAGAGAGAGAGAGAGAGAGAGAGAGAGACCTATTATATCTGCATGTTCTTGAATGAATAGTGCATTCTTAGCAAGGCCTCCACATGCTAGTATTGTGTCAATCTGCAAAGAATGAAACAGATACTCAAAGAAGGTTACATTTTTTAGGTTCCGATTACTCTAGAGACCAAAGTGTAACAATGATAGTTCTCCTCAAAAGTGGAGGAAATAAGGTCCAGTAGCCATGTTGAGTCTGATTCCTAAATAGAATCACAAACCTTTGTTCCAAGCAGGAGTTAACCATGGAACCATGTTATAAATTCTCTCCTAGTTGTATTCTTACCAATTCAAATAACCTAAGGAGGAAAGGTTAAAACACAAAGTAGAAGAAAACATTTCCTAAACAGATACAACTTCCACCAAAGAATCATGTACTATGACCTACAAATACATGAGCACTTTGCCCTTAATACTATGATCTACAAATATTGCATGCCGTATAAAAAGTTCAAAATCAAAATTATATGGTTTTAGAAATCGTATGCATGTGGCTTAATTACTTTAAATACTTCAAGACATTTTTGGAGTTAAATTAGTACTTCTGAATAAGGGAAAACAATTGAAAGAAACTAAAGAATATTATAAGTTTCATAAGGTTGGTCATTCTTTGAAATTGTCTGTTTACAACTGATGCATACAGAATAAGAGAACTGAGAAGTATGCATTCTTACTTTGTGACCATTGGCGTTGCAGTGCTCTACAATGTGACGTGTGCCATATGCAATACCTTGTACTGTGGCAAGATACTGAAGAGCCAACTGATTCTGACTTGTATCAAGTGTTAAGCCACATACCATACCTTTTGCCTTTGGGTCTGCATTGGGAGACCTACGCCATCACAAATTCAGTAGCTTAATGAAAAGATTTTTTTTTTTTGGGGGGGGGGGGGCACTATGACAAGTGAAATTAAGCTCAATGCATAAGGATAAACCTGTTCCCATGAAAATCTGGAAGAACATGCATGTCTTCAGTCAAAGAAGCAACAAATGGACGCTTCAGATCATGCATCATTATGTTCAGTAACTTCTTCAGTAGTTCAAACAAAGAAATGCCTAGAGAGAGATGCAGAGATCAAATTAAGTTGCCCATGAATGGCATTCAAGATTTAAGCCATCTATCCTAGTACAGCAATTAGCATAAAATAAGTTGATCAATGACTCACACTGAGAAGCAGCATGATTTGCAAGGTAAGGAGCCGCAAGATGGCTTTCAATTATGTGATCCAATAATGCACCTGTAGCACTCTGTCCACCTTCTGTGAGCCAATATTCGGGCACCATAGCTGAAAATTTAAAGAGGAAAAAGAGTAGGTAAAGTATGTTGACAATGATAACAATACTACAGCTGGAAAGCTTGTTCCCATACCTGACCAGTATGGGCCCCAGACCCCTGGAATGAAAAGTTTGTCCCGAGATACAACCATATGGCATGTAGAAGTTCCACAGACTAACACCATACGATGGCAGAGAGCTTCACCATCACACTCTGAACATATAACAGTTGTTTAGAAGAATACATCACTTTAGCTAAAAAATTAATTAGAATAACTAAAAGCGAAAATGGATAGGACTTAGCAACCTTTAGGCTCAGAATATGTCACAGGCACACTTTCCATTACCCCCACACCACCGGCATGAGCATCAATTAGGGAAGTTCCAACAGGGATTCCTGCTACAAGATCTAATTCCTGGAAATTCAAATTACTTTGAATAATAAAAGACTAACCACAGCAAGAGTCAAAAAAAAAAAAATTCATGTGAAATCACCCTCCAAACTTCCAAAGCCACCCAAAAAGGATGTGCTCATACTCTAGCAGCAAATAAAATGTGTATGCATAGTTAATGGACCTCAAGGGAGCGCCACTTGAAATCAAAGTGAAATCTTCAGTACAAAATATCTTGCCTTCGCAGCAGTTGGTGTGAGACCAGAACCCAGAGGATGGCCAGGGAAGGCTACACTTCGTCCTGTTTCAATCTCAAGTTATAACCAAAGCCAAAAGTACCCAATGGTAGCACAAAGCATTTGAAAGACTTGGCGCAATAACCAAGACATAAATAATAGTTGCGAGTACTCTCAAGTTGACCTGTGAACTATTTTCAGATAAAGACATAGTTGATTAACGCAGAGTTGAAGTAAACCGAAGTGTATATACAGAAGATCAGGAATCAATAACTAATAGTCATTCAGAAACCCCAGAACCAAATGGGAGAAGGATACAAGACAAGACTTTTGGATTGTTTCATCATTAAATTATAGCACAACCTTTTCTCTTCAACAGAGAATCCTATTCCCTAGCACTTCTCTAAAGATTCATTAACATTGACAAAACAATGAATATTCAAATGCAAGTATCTGATAACGTGACAGTCCATTTGCGGTAGAGCAATAATTTTAAATAAGACAAAAGCAGGGATATGCATATGCAATGCATAATTCCACTGTTCCAATATAAAGATAGTCATACTAGGATAAAGATCTTGGCAAGATAAAATGACTGAGAAATATTTATCACCACATATACGAATTCTAATAAGACCATTATGTACCCCTCTCCGAAAACAAAGTTGAAAAGTTACTACCAAACTATCAGTCAGTCAACACTGAAACTTATACCATATCCAGAAATCATTTAAGGGGGGGAAATGCATCACAAGAAACCTCTTAGAAGTTAAGGGGCATCTGAAAAGGAATAAGTCGATGTATACTCGATACTAAATTTCTTACCATATTCGAACGATGCAGGTGAATCTTATCTAATTGAACATAAATGGTGTGCTCTTCTTCATCTTAAGAAATCTACCAATCATTAATATATCTACTAATAATAAATGAAGAAATCACTAGATTTTTAAGATCTTGTTAAATTCTCAATCGTCAGCATGTCAAAGCACCATTCGTTAGAAAACTACAGGATTTTACAATTCCTCCATAAAGAAGACATATAGAGAACTTGTATCTACAAGTCCTTACCTATCTTAGCATGATGACCATCTACAAGATCACCCAATCCAATCTCCTCCAAGAAATCATCATCCCACCCACAAGCTTCCATATCTCGAGAATCTTTCTCATTGTTTAGCTGCATATGTGCATGACCAAGATATGTCCACTTGCACACTGTCGTACAGAGACTCCGAGTATCATCTCCTGTGGCCCTAATGATATGCAAATACATCAGTTTGTTCAACAAATTCAAGTCAAACTTGACTAGGACAAAAGGATCACATATCGAATGGATTCAAGTACCTGTATGATAACCAATCACTCAGGTCCATCCACCTGAAGACCATTGACCAAGACTCAGGAAGATTTTCTTTCACCCATAGAAGCTGCATAAAGATGGTCTTTATCTTTTAAAAAGAAATGTAAAGCAAAAAAAAGGAACCAATGGATAATTTTATACATATATATAAGGAAAGAAAATATCCTAGCACACCATATCAGTAACTAGTATGTGATGTACATCTACATCCCTCCTATACAACCTTTTGATACACGTGTAGATCATTGAGACGCCTAGATGTAAGATAGACGCAATGAACATGGAATATGTTTAAACTTATAAATAAATAATTCATAATTCATGCAGGAATGTAATAACTTAGTATGGATGGACCATGCTATGATGTGTACGTACCTTTGGAGGCTGCATCTCAGGGGAAAGAGCTCCACCACAGTACTGCAATACGGTTGAGTTACGTGAATTAATCCTTTCAGCTTGTTCAACAGCTCTATGGTCCATCCATACTATTATGTTTCTTCTTGAATCACCACTCCAAGAAACCGTAACAGGAGAGCCGTCAGCATCCACTGCAACTGCAAAGAGAAACCATCTGCTACTGATTAATGCTAGCAAGCAGTTTTCATACTTTCTGTTGTGCATAATATATACTAAGAATATTACATAACCAATTTTCTTCATTAGAACAGTGTGGTAAAACACAAACAGAAAGTTACGCACCAAGTGAACAAGTAGCCGCAAATCCCATACCCTTCACTTCTTCCTTGGAAACTTTTGCAAGGGAGCACGCTGCTTTCACAGCCGCACTTATTGCATGCCAAATATCTGTGGACGATTGCTAATTTTGCACAAAAAAATAAAAAGTAAAAGTTACAAGGAATCATTCAAATGCCACATTCGTCCTCTACATACTGCAGCAACTACCAGTTGTGCAACTCACCACCGTAAGTCTACTTAACACCGCATTCGTTAGCTACTACAAGTACTAATGAATTCGTTAGCTACTACAAGTACTGATGAAATTCACTTCTTAATTATTATTACCTCAACAGAATCGCCATCTTTCCAAATCTGAATCGAACTGCTCGAAGAACCTAGAAGTTTCCCGTCCTCGTCGAACAGACCTGCATCCAGCACCAATTACAATGCAGGATTGCACAACTAAACAACAATTGCAATTCACTGATTCTTAACAACCTAACATTTAATATCGATGATATCGGAAATATCAGTAGTCCAAAAACACATAAATTTCGATTGAAATATCGAGATATTATCGATATCGATAAAAATTAAATAAAAACCACGGAAATTGTAAGAAAACTTGGAAATTTTTATTGAAACTTTGCAGGATGTTTATTTAGTCAATTATCTACTAGTTTATCACAAAAAATTAGAAGGAAATGCATTGCATGATAGATATAACTAATTTAAGTTGATTATATAGCGAGCTGACAAATATTGTGAGTGTAGAAAATATGTAGTAATTAATGAAAGAAATTTAAACACACCATAATCATTTATATATAATGAATTAGTACAATATTTTACATTTTATACATTGCATGGTAAGATGCATGAGTAACTTAGCAAAGTCTAAAATATCGATGATATCGGAAATATCGGTAGTCTAAAAAAAATCGATAGTCAAAAAATACGGAAATTTCGATGAAAATATCGGGATATTATGGATATTTTAGACATGCAACACACGCGCAGGAAATTCGCGGTAAATCGATACCAATCTAATTAAATGTCAATAATTTCTGATCATCTGATATGATTCACCTTAAACTAACCAATAAAACAAGCATGCGAATATTCAATCCTATACATCGACGATTTTATTATTTTCTCCGTTATATAAAACACAGAGAGAGAGGGAGGGGACCTGCGCGGGCGCTACCGGTGCCAACATCTATGCCGAGGAAGACGGAGCGGGCGGTGGCGGTTGGGACGGCGGAGGAGGTCATCTCGAGAGAGACTGAGGAGTGAGAATTTGAAGAGGAGCGACCCTGAAACTGACGGAGATTATGCTGTTGTTGCTGGTGCTGCTTCTGTGATTGGGATTGTTGGTGGGCAAGTAGTGGTGCTGAATCAGACCAACCCCTTCCTTTACCAGACATTTCTCTCTTTCTTTTTCTGCCGTTCTTTCATTTCAGTTTTCTGATAATCTGATCACGATTAATAGATTATCATTAGAGACCTTTATTTTGTCACGGACCCTATACGCCCAAAATATAAAATCACATACGTCATTCTATATGGCCTTTTTCTTTAGCCTGTAGTATCGTTAGTACCGTGCTGCATGTCCTAATCTAGGGGTTGGCAGGGTCTGGTCCGGCTCAGTTCTACTCTTGAATCGAATCTTGAACTTGAAAACATTAATGGTGCGGTTCGGTGCGATTGCATTTAAATTTATTATTAAAGTTGTACGGTTTAATTCACGTCGATTCCGATTCTATTTTTGCCGGTTCATAATTCTAACCTTAGAACCGTAAACCGGATTAATATATACATATATGTATATATTAATCTTCTACTTCCAATACCAAACTCATATTTTAATCACAAATTCAAGCAAATTTAAGTTCCCACTACTAGATCTACAAGATTTGTAACCAAATGATAGAAAGTTTATATATACATAAAAATAAAAAGATAGAAAGTCTTAGATCAAGACCAAAGTGTACATCCTAAAATCAAAATTAAAGTGTACATAAGGCATATAGATAAATGAGGAAAAGAAGAGAGGAGAGAGAGGGATGAAAATTGTACACTTTAATTTCATTTTAGGTGTACATAATACATATAAATAAATGGAATTATGATTACTTACTTGAAAGAGGTCTTCCCTGATTAGGAAACTATTTATGTTAAGAATAAGAGATTATTCTAACATAAATACCATTAACTGTTCCTACAGGTAAGGGTGCCTTGAGTAGTCGTTGATCACTACTTGCTTTACCTCAATTGCGAATGGTGAACGAGACTACTTCCTGCTCATTTAATAGGGGCATTCTTGTCATTCTTATGAAATAATCCTCGTGTCAACTCCATGATTTTTAGAATTATTTTTGGCTCCACAAATGCCCACACACTTACTGGGCTACTACGAGGCAGGAGGTGTAGGAATCCAAAGTTGCAATGGAGTTTGTGTCCTAATTTGATGTAGATTCCCTCTTTGAATTGGAATTTAAATTCTTCGAGGAAATGGAATGTAATTGCACCAAAACCTATTTAAGTTTGTGTCAAGCAGGGGGTTAAATAAGTTTGGAATGCAATTAAAACCCCGCAAGAAACAGAGAAAGCCAAAGGATATTTGTTCCTTATCCCCTAGCAATCTTCTTCTTTTCCAAGGTAAGAAAAAATTAATCTTCTCTTTCTTCTTGATTTTTCGAAGCCTCGGGGCTTGAATTTTGGCTCGATGAGGGTCGAGGAAGTGGCAAAAAGTGTAGTCGTTGAGTTGCTATGCTGCTGCCGTGGTAGCTAGGTTGCTACAGGTAGGCTCGGCGTGGGCTGAGGGCTGGCAGCTAGACCAACTCGGCTCGAGCGCTGGGCTCAGGCCTGTGCGCGTGGACCTTAGCGCTGGGGCGCCAGTCTTGGGTTGCTAGGCTTGGGCCTATGCAGCGTTGAGAGATATGGGAGATAAAGGGAGGCCCAAGGGCGTTAGCCCCTCTCCAATTGGTTTGGGCCACAACGTCGTTGGGTTACGATGGAAAAAAAGGGGGAGGCAGAACTAGGGCACCAACCCCCTGCCTTGAAATGTGGGTTGCTGTGCCCTTTAGGCCGAGAGAAGAAGACCAGGCTGTAAGGCCTAGCGTGGTTGCTGGGCTTATTCGGTCTTGGTCTTATTTTGTTTTGTTTCTTCTTCAAGCAGCATTCTAATCATTTTTCCTTACGCCATTGCAGGATTTTCAAACATATTTTCCTCGAGCCACAAGAATGATGAATTTATTCCACCGTTATATAGTCAAGGCGGATCTGCAAGTAAGCTAGGCTACTTTAGGGCTGCTCATGTCAAGGTAGGTTCCAATGAGCAGTTCTAAGACTTCCTTGAGATGTTTAAGCATGCAATTCCATCTAGGGTTCACTTGAAACGGGCCAATGATGATAGCAGCTGTGAACCGTGTGGGTTTAGGAAAGCTATCAAGTTTCACCTCTACTACTTCGTGTTGGAGTTCACCTTTCCCATGCCTCGATTCTTCCAATAAGCGATCTACTCCATGAAATGTGCCCCCGCTTAATGCTTTCCAAAACTTAAGCAGGTTCTTTGACATGGACCTAACTGCTAGCGAGTTTGGTACTTCTTTGACATAGGTCTCATCGATGGTGTTGGGTAGCTGAAGACCCACCATAGGCTTTTCGATCACTCGAGCAAAAAGGATCATAACTTGGCCAGGGAGACCCTAAAGATCAGCGGAGAGTTGGAATTAGACTCCTGGCTTGGGCTGTGCGTTTCGATTGTGTTCATCGATGGTAAGTAGGCTTTTTTTTTTTACTTTTATGGAGCTGCCTTCTAATTTGTCCTTCTCTGTTTATGTAGATTTGGAATTCGGCTCAAAGACTTCTCCAGACATGAAGAAGGCACACATCGCTTTGGGGATCCTTGTTGAATATCGCGAATGGCGTTGGCTGCTTAGTCCTCTTTGTAGGGAAAAAGGTGGGCTGCTTCCAAATGAAGAGATTAGGAAGATCAAGAGTGAGGCGTTTGCTCGTCTGATCGTCATCGTGGAACCTGTTGCTAGTGGAGGTGGAAGAAAGAGATCTTTGTCGCCTACTTGAGAGCCATCAGTGAAGAAAAAGTTGAAGACTTCCTCTATTGCTTGCGAGGGTTCGTCTATTGCTGGGAGGCTCGTGGTTGACTTGACTTCTTCCAAGTGGAAGAAAGATGCTGCTGGAAATGAGCTTATGAAGCTTGCTGCTCTGAGGGTTGCTAGAACAGTTGCTAACAGGATTGCGCAGTGGAGAAGTTTTATCGTGCCCTCTGCGCCTAGTTTTATTTCGAGACAACCTTTTATGCCTAAGTCTAATTCGATTCTAGAGGTGTATGCAGTGGTGAAGAGCGAGGATGTTGGTTCTACTGCCAAGGTGGTGCCAAGGCTAGCCCATTCTATGAAGAATGAAGCACCTGCCCACATAAGCAGCCGTGAACAGCATGCCAAACTAGCCTTATGGGAGTTTTCTGAGATCCATGCACTGTTAAAGCCTGATCTGCTGGAGGAAATGGAAGCATGTGCCAAGTTTCTTGATGGCATAAGTAAGGTTGTTGACTCCAGTTTCTACGCAAGGCGTGAAGCTCACTCACAGAGGGGTTTCCTACTCACTATGATGCAAGAATCTTGTGATCTTGGCTGCCGAGTACACGCACATGAAGCAGGATGACGCCAATGCTGCTATAGAGAAGCGGTAACAATGGTAGCAGAAGCTTGCTCGGCTGCTGAAAAAAATTAAAAAGTTGAAGTTTGAACTTGCATTTTTTAAGGGATCTGATGTCTTTGCCTCCCCTGCTCAACACCTTGAGACAGCTCGCCAAAAGATCAATGACTTGAAGGCTCAACTTGATGCGATCTAGGGGAAGTATGGCATTGCAGAGAAAGAGATTGAAGTCCAAGCATTGCTAGTGTAGGACCTTGAGCGTGCCATTTTAGAATTTAAGTATGCACGTGATGCCAATGATGTAGAGCTACTCGCCATGCATAATGACGTTGTTTGACTCAAGAAAGCCGTCAATAGACTTGAGTAGGCAGGGGCTTTAGGTTCCTAGGGATCTTCCAAAAACCGTAGGCTGCTCGTTGAATTGGCAGTAGTTTTAGGTTCCCAAGTATCTTCTAGAAATCGTAGGCTGGTCGTTGAATAGGCAACGGCTTTAGGTTTCCAGGGATACACATAGATCGCTAGCTGGTCACATACAAGATGCTCAGCTACTTTCGCTAACTGGTCACATTAAGGATGCTCAACCATGTGAACCTTATGTGTGTAGCCCAGTGTTCTACAAATCGGTCTAGGTGGTGCCTAAGCGCCAGGCAGTGGAGCTTCAACTCGATTTAGGACAAAACGGTCAGGTAAGGCGGGGAAGATTTAGGCAACCGCTTAGGCGCTCTAGGTGGTCTGGGAGGTTCTAAGCAGTAGTCTAGGCGGCTCTGCAATTCTCACATAAGATCTGCAACTCCGAATCTCAAATCGTATCAGCCTCGAGAAAATTTCTGAACTCACTGTTTATGCATAGAAAAAGGAAGAGAGAATGCGATGAGAGAGAGAGAGAGAGCGTAACTTTTAACATATCAGTCCATGGCAGCAGGATTTGGATTTGAGATCCAATTCGATGTTTTGATTCCTAAAGGAAAAAAAAGAAACGAAAAATCACAAATTGAAGAGTTTTTCATTTTCCAAGGAGTCAAAATGTGATAATGATATGAGCTCGACTGTTCAGAAATCTTGGGTGAAGTAAAAGAGTGGGATTGGATGGGTCAGAATTAGATGGGTTATTGAATGCTTTGGTTTTTAATTCTTTAAATTACCACCCACTACCACTACGTGGGGGATTTTTGTCATTTTAAAAAGCTTGGATATATATACATATATCTGTAGTCTATACATATATATTATAAAGTCTAGCTTTAAATGTTTGGCTTTCCTTGTCAAATATTGTAATTGAACCATTACACATACTCAATCTAGCTTTAGAACATACTCAAATTATAGGTTGTTGCTGCTGGCGTAAATGTTCAAAAAGTGGCACATTTCAACTCAAATGTTTGTTCATGCATGAGCACTTCATATCTTTATTTATGTTACATTCTGTCTAGTTTGATTGTCTAGCCAGTTTAGGGCGCTGACTTCCAGCTGTCTAGGCACACAGATTAAGATAGCATACATGGGCTGACTAACACATTTCTGATGGTAGTCAGTTTCTGGCCATTGATCTAGCTAGATCTCTTTTGCAGCCGACAAGTGTCCTTGAGACAAGTTGGCTGATGGAAATTCTGATCTCCTTGGGGTATATTTGCTTCTAGGGTTTCAGTTTGTTCTTTGGGGGTTTAGAACTTAGTTTTAGAGAAAGAGAAAGAGTTGCTTTAAGGCTTTGAAGCTTGCATCTTCTCCATTTATGAACCCTAATCGCCAAACCTTCCTCATGCATTAATCACCCAATCATTGTCTATTAGGGTTGCATTGTTTTTAAGGTTTTGCATTTATGTCTTGGTCTAGTT